CCCCCCTCCCCCCCCCCCCCCCCCCGGGCCAATTTTTACCCAAGGGCTTTTATTTGAACAGACTTGGTAGACACCCATAAGAAGATGTTTCATGCTAAACATCTAAGTTCTAGCTCATTGGGTTTTTTAAAAGAAGATTTTTCAAGTTTTTACTATACACATATAGTTAAAAACAATGACACAACTGGGGCAGGGCCAGTTTTGACCCCAGGGCTTTTATTTGAACAAACTTTGTAGATATTTACTAAAAGATGTTTCATGCTCAATATCTAAACTCTAGCTATTTGGGTTTTTTCAAAGAAGATTTTTAAGTTTTTGCTATACACAAAAAAGGAAAATCAATGACCCCCGGGGCAGGGCCAATTTTGACCCTGGGGCTTTTATTTGAACAAACTTTGTAGACACTCCCTAGAAGATATTTCATGCCAAATATCTTAGCTCTAGCTCTTTGGGTTCTTTAAAATAAGATTTTTTAAGTTTTTACTATATGCATATAGGGAAAATCTATGACCCCCTGGGGCGGGGCCAATTTTGACCCCAGGGCTTTTATTTGAACAAACTTGGTAGACACTCACTAGAAGATGTTTCATGCCAAATATCTTAGCTCTAGCTCTTTGGGTTCTTTAAAAGAAGATTTTTTAAGTTTTTACTATATGCATATAGGGAAAATCAATGACCCCCTGGGCCAATTTTGACCTCAGGGCTTTTATTTGAACAAACTTGGTAGACACTCACTAGAAGATGTTTCATGCCAAATATCTAAGCTCTAGCTCTTACGGTTGTTTAAAAGAAGATATTTAAAGATTTTTCTCTCGCTTGCCATGGCAACCAGAGTTCTGCATGGAATTAAATTCTTTGAACAATTTTTAAAGGTGACCACCAAAGGAACATTCCTGTGAAGTTTGGATGAAATTGGCTCAGTGGTTTATGAGGAGATGTCATTTAAAGCAAAAGTTTACGGACAGACGGACGGACGCTGGACGAAAAGCGATCACAAAGGCTCACCCTGTCACTTTGTGACAGGTGAGCTAAAAAACCATCCCAGAAGCGTAAAACACATGATTATGCAAAATAGTTTTAAGTCCACTTGTGTATGTTAATAGGGAGAGCAGTAGAATTTGTAAAATGGGTGTGGGTTATTAGTTCAATCATCAGAAGAGGTAATCTCTCCTGAAACAATTTGAGCCCCGTCTCAACAAAACCAACACAAGAATTTGTAACAGAGTTACCAACGTCCCCCGCCCCGGGAGTTTTATATGAAGCATAAAATTGTGCTATTTCAAAAGATTGAGGTATGGATCTCAGGACATTCAGTCCAAAATTATGATCAATGCTAGATCTGCAAATGTAACAATAAATTTGTTAAAAAAATAAAATGAAACACAGAATTTTAAAATCTATCATGTTAAGCTTTGACCTCTAAGTGTGACCTTGACCTTGGAGGTAGGGACACAGATGTTACGCATGACATATCATCTAATCATTGTGACTATTTGTTCCTTAGTATTTTCAAAATCCCTTAATCTATGAAGAAGTAATGGATGGGACAAAAAATATACCAAATAACAGACTCTGTTAACCTTTGACCTCTAAGTGTGACCTTGACCTTAAGAGGTAGGGGTGCAGGTGTTGTACCTGACATATCGGCTTATTATTGTGACTATTTGTGCAAATTTATTTCAAAATCCCTTGAACTATGAAGAAGTTCTAGATTCGACACGAAATATACCCTATAACAGACTATGTTAATTTTTGACCTCTAAGTGTGACCTTGACCTTGGAGGTAGGGATGCAGGTGTTGCGCATGACACATCCTCTTATTAAAGTGACTATTTGTGCAAAGTATTTTCAAAATCCTTTGATCTATGAAAAAGTTTTAGACCGGACAAAAAATATACCCTGTAACAGACTATGTAAGTATTTGACCTCCCAGTGTGACCTTGACCTTGGAGGTAGGTGACCGGTTTTTGCGCATGACACATCATCTGATTATTGTGAACTATTATGGCAAGTATTTACAAAATCCCTTCATAGATAAGAAAGTTATGGACCGGACACGACATATACCCTCAAATAGACAATGTTGACCTTGAATGAGCAAGTGTGACCTTGACCCTGAAGGTACGGGTCTGGTTGTTGCGCATGACACATCGTCTTTTTATAACAAACATTTGTGCCAAGTTATCTCAAATTCCCTTGATAAATGACAAAGTTATGGACCGGACACGAAATATACCCTGTAACAGACTATGTTAATATTTGACCTCCAAGTGTGACCTTGACCTTGAAGGTAGGTGACTGGTTTTTGCGCATGACACATCGTCTGATTATTGTGAACAATTATGGCAAGTATTTACAAAATCCCTTCATAGATAAGAAAGTTATGGACCGGACACGACATATACCCTCAAATAGACAATGTTAACCTTGAATGAGCAAGTACGACCTTGACCCTGAAGGTAAGGGTCTGGTTGTTGCGCATGACACATCGTCTTATTATAACAAACATTTGTGCCAAGTTATTTCAAATTCCTTTCATAAATGACAAAGTTATGGACCGGACACGAAATATACCCTGTAACAGACTATGTTAATATTTGACCTCCAAGTGTGACCTTGACCTTGAAGGTAGGTGACTGGTTTTTGCGCATGACACATCGTCTGATTATTGTGAACAATTATGGCAAGTATTTACAAAATCCCTTCATAGATAAGAAAGTTATGGACCGGACACGACATATACCCTCAAATAGGCAATGTTGACCTTGAATGAGCAAGTGTGACCTTGACCCTGGAGGTAGGGGTCTGGTTGTTGCGCATGACACATCGTCTTATTATAATAAACATTTGTGCCAAGTTATTTCAAATTCCTTTCATAAATGACAAAGTTATGGACCGGACACGAAAGTGTGACGGACGGATGGACAGACGGACAGACAGACGGACGGAGCCTATTTCTATATCCCCCTTTTTTCTTCGAAAAGGCGGGGGACAATAATGGGTTTGTGACCAGCATGGATCCAGACCAGCCTGCGCATCCGCTCAGTCCGATCAGGATCCATGCTGTTCGCTATCAGTTTCTCTACTTGATATAGGGTTTGTAAGCGAACAGCATGGATCCTGATCAGACTGCGCGGATGTGCAGGCTGGTCTGGATCCATGCTGGTCGCAAACGCACTATGTTGGTTTTGTCGTGACGCGGCTCATTTGTCTCTCACAGCTGATTTTACAAATCAAGTGGGATTTGTATTTTTCACTTGTGGAGAAATGGGTTATTTATAATTGATTATCCAGAAATACTGGTGGACTGCTTACAAAGATATGACCAAAAATATGTTGAATCATCTGTGCTTATTTTAGGCAAAAGTGGATATGTCCATGATGATGAACCTAACCATTGTTCTTGGTAATTTCCAGGCAGTCAATATACTTCACTGGCTTCATGGATACATTGTAATTTCTTAGTTATTATCAAGTGACCGCTGCTAATCCCACATGATTTCTCTAAATCAGCAGTGAACACTGAATTACATGTACCCTGTAATATCAATGAAAAATAATAAGTATGAATGCCGATAATAATAATATTTAATCATTATTAATTTCTCATTACAATAGCACAATATTAAATAATGAAACATTTGTCACAAATACAAAAAAATATCACAAAATAGGATAATTATTAAATCTATATACACAATATTGCACAATTATTTGGTATGAAAGAAATACACTGATTTTTTTTAAAACAATATAGCAGTTTAAAGTTGGTGCATACTTTTATTTTTTTGACTGACTTTAAAGAAGAGAGAATTGTCTTAGCAAGATGAATACCTTTTATTCAGATATAAATAAAATTGGATGTGTTTTATCATTATGGTATCTTTATATATGTAACATTTGGAATTAGAAAGTTAAATGTCTTTATATTGTAAGAATTTGTTCAAACTTCTAAATGGAAATCTTCATCATTCTTTTAATCAATAGTGTAAAACCATGAAAATGACAAGTACTCTTTTGAAACAATCCTTGTCAATTACAACAAATATTGTACAAAAAGAGAATAATTCCCTCAATGAGAAAATTTATTTTTCCAAACTTGGTCATGTTTCTCAAAATCTGTATCATAAGCTCCTTTGCAAAAAACAGATGTGCCCTAATGTTTATTGTGACACAAAACTTTTCAAAATTGTAAATAAGCGACACTTGCTAAAGTCTTTCTTTCCAATTATACCCTTTATAGGAGCCCAGGGTTTGTACAGACATCCAATGCCAAAATTCAATTAATTTTTAAGCAAGTTTTCCAATTTCTCAAGCACAATTTATTGCAAATACACCATTTGTAACCAATCATAAGGTGACTGATATAGTCATAAAACATTGGAAACTTTATTCTTGACTGCTCAATCTGCTAAATAATATTGTAAATCATGTGATATTTAATATATAGTATAGTACAACTAAAATATTCTAGCATGACCAGCAAAATTTAATTATCATCATTGTTCATTTACCCTTATTACATACATGCCATTTAATTTAAAGGCAGTTTCAAAAATATTTCTTATATCTGTTATTTTACTGTATGTACAACACTGCTTTTCTTTTATCAAAAAAATATTCAACCCATGGATAGTCTATTAGCCTTTTTTTTTTAAATGCACATTTTCCAGTTTCTATAGAAAAACAACAAAGGGGTGTAACTACTGTATATTCATACCTCAACTTGTTTCAACAGCAATTTGTCCCCTTTTTGGTTTCTAAGTTTGATCGGGTTTTCTTTTGTTAAATGTTGATTTTTACCAACACTATGTCCATTTTCAAGCATAATTGCAGCAAAATTCAGCATTTTTTAAACACCTTACAAGAGATTAATCAAATTCTAGGAATTTAAGCACTTTTTTCATTTTTTAGCACATTTTAAGAAAGGGATTCTGAAATTTAAGCACTTTTTATGACTGTACAAACCCTGGAGCCTCTAAGACTTCTTTTACTTTAAAAAAAAAATCTTGTCAGTTCTGTTTCAATAATATGATACAACCATGGCCATCATCATTTCATTTTCTCATCTGCGATCCCTATCCTTCATTTGAAACGGTTCTAACTGTTCTCCGGGAGGCAACATTTTATTTAACGCCTCCATTTTAGGTATAATATCGTTCATCGTATCTTGTATACGATTTAACACTAGCACTGTCTCTGATGTACGCTGAAACTGCTCCGCGTATTTCGCATATTTTTTCTGTTTTTCTGTCATGGTATTCATTAACTTCTGAATCATACAGTCAATCTGTAACAGAACAAGAGCTGTCCGTAAGACAGCGCGCTCGACTTTTTTATTGCTTGCCAATAAAAAAAGTTTTTGCAGTAAAAGGCAATACAAGAATCTCTGTATTTTTAAAGTGAACTAGTTGTTTGATACCCTTGAATATTACAGCAATGTTTATATGACATAATTTATGGTAAAGTGAACAAGTGGATAGGAATGAATTTTTTTAGATTTTTTAAGTTTTTTAGTGCTTGCCTATAATACAAAACATTGACAGTTAAGGGCCATAATTCAAATAAAATCTTTGACAGAATTACCTTCTCCTGGACATGTTTGGGAATCATGATTGTAAACAAGTATTCCAACTTTCAAATTAATATCTCAAACAGTTCAGTCAAAAAGTGGACTGGTACTAAAAACTTAACCAAGATTCTAAGTCGATAAAAGGCCTTAATTTTTAAAACAAATCCTTGACAGAGTTACCTTCTCTTGCGTACAGATGGGGGTAATGATGTGAAATAGCATTAAAAGTTTTCAAAGCAATATCTCAAAGGGTTAAGGCAATAAGTGGATTTTACCCATATTCAATGTATTTTCTAAGTCAAAAAGGGGCATAATTCTGTCAAAACCTTGACAGAGTTATGTCCTCTTGTCTGTTGATGAAGGTCGTGATGGTAAACAAGTATGGTCAGTTTCAAAGCAATACCTCCAATGGTTTTGAAATAAAGTGAGGTGGTACAAAAAACTTAACCAAGCTCAATACACTTTCTAAGTCAAAAAAGGGCCATAATTCTGTCAAAAACCTTGACAGAGTTATGTACTCTTGTCTGTAGATGGAGGTTATGATGGTGAACAAGTATGGTAAGTTTCAAAGCCATACTTGTAATACTTCTGAAATAAAGTGGGGTGGTACGAAAAACTTAACCAAGGTGTGACGCCAACGCCGACGCTAACGCCGACGCCGGGGCGAGTAGGATAGCTCCCCTTTTCATAGAAAAGTCGAGCTAATAAAACCATACAGAATTCACAATCAGCTCCATTATAACAAGGTGTTACTATTTACTGTATGGATCTATCTTATCTTTTTAACCTGAACACTAACCCTGCTATAAACTGTGTAAAAGACCTGCCATACTTTAAACTAGTATTTGAACATACATGTAAATGATTTTAATCATTTATGGTTTACAAATAAATATAAGAATGTTAAAGATATACTAACTTACTTATCTCAAATTTGATATCAGAAAATATTGATAATTGCTACACAGTCTCTTTTGTAAATATGAAATAAACATGTTTTGACTTCACATTGAAAAGTTAATATTTCATGTTTAAAACTCTACACACATAGGTCTTCACAATATGAATATAAAGTGGCGTTAAAATAATGGCAGTTTTTTTTAAGAAAAGACCAACTTTACTTGTCCTGTAATAGAGAACGTGACTTCCAATATAGTTTATTATTCATTTTTTATCTAAAGTGACATTATGCTCATTTCTCATAGTCGAGTTGACTTTTTATTTTAAAAGATTGACTTTTATAATGGTGATTGACAACAGTTGATATTGAAAAATGAATAAGGATAACATATTCTTCTAGCTAAAATATAAAAAGACTGCCCCTCTTTTCATAAATTGAATATTACAAGTATAGTCCAATGGAATTGCTTACAAAACTTCCATTGGATCAGGTGAGGTATTTATTTCCATGCAAAGCAAATGATAAGATGAAAAGGAATTATGGAAAAATGTCAACTTACTTTGACTTTAACCTGTTCACTCACTATATACCCTTTGATGAGCATAATGTCACTTTAAAATAGACATATTCAGTAAGAATTTCATAGGTTTTAATTAATTTCTTCAATCAAAATATTTTACTCAAAGATGAGCATAGTATATCTCGGCAACTAACAGTATAAATATTTTGACTTAAAGAAAAACAGCACTTTTACCTCTTTTATACGTATACATAGGGCATTCTGGTCAAAAGCAACACTCTCGGACAGTTGTTTCAAGTGCTCCTGGTATCTCAAGCACAGCAATAACAGATTTTTCGGGTCTAATTTCTCCAGTAGATCTAAATCCCTGGAACTTGTTGGTAGGTTCAGAGATCCTCTCATGATAGGATAGAAAGCTGGTATAGTACTTAATCTGGTCAGCTCAGGATCTGGATCTGAGATAAATGTTGAGACAAAGAAAACATGAAGTTATGAATAGTCAAAGAATCCCTTTAATATCAGCATTATTACATTCACAATATGCTGTTAAAATGTGTCTTCAATTTATTTTTTTAAAGTTTCTTCCTTTCAAACTTTAGTCTCACCTGAGTCTATTTGAAAGAAGGGGAGCCGTGGCCTAGTGGTTAAGGTGTCTGCCTCTCAACCCAGGGATCACAGGTTTAAACCCTAATTTGATCGCGACCCTGTTTCTTCATATGACACCAGTACTGGTTGGCTACAGGAAGTGGACTCGAAAGTGATTAATATAAGTTGCAAGAACATGTTTTGCAATCTAGGTTTAATAAATATGTCTAAACCTTAGTCTTGAAGGGACTCCACTGAGGTTTTTTGTTATGATGAGACTTGAAATATTTTTCCATAATTTGTGTTCCATTTCAGGAAGGTAACCAGTAACTTATGTTATTCCTTCACCTTGTTTTTTCCAGAAGAATCATTTTTATTGTGCAAATGACCAGAAAAATTAATAGCGTTGCAACACTTAGTAGTACAGGTTTTTTCTGACTTTGCTTCAGAAGGAAGACCCATCTATGTGTAATTTCAAATAAGGCATTTGCACGCATCTTGGTAGATCTGATCTTCAAGTTTATTTGGTGACTGCCTCACAACTCAATGTAATAACACTGGCTCTAAACAAAATGTTAATTTCATTTGTGTGTTATTATGGCATAGACAGCTGGTTCTTTATAATTGACAAGTGAATTTGTTATAAACATCATGAAAGGTAAGAGATAATCAAATGATATTGTTAGGTCAGTGATTTTCCTGCTTATATAACAGACTCCGATAAAAGGCCTCTTTCCAATTGAAATTTCCTTTAAAATCATGCAGTTTTCCCAAAAATCTGAACTTAAACCTGCTCCCAAAATCAAGAGGCTAAGGCTTCTTCCCAATTAAGTGAGAAAAATCACTGTAGGTCTAAATATGATGTTAAGAATGACTATAATCTATGACTTGACATTACAGGTCATTCTTAGGTTAAGACTAACCAACATATAAAGTTTGATAAGTTATTCCCTGAACCACCCTCGATGATTGAAACAGGAAGTTAAAATCAAAAATCTTTAAACTTGACAAATATATTATTTTGCGTCTCCATGTGCCAAATACATTAAAAAAAAATAATAAAAAAATTATTTAAACATTATTTATAACACAGTTGTTATCAAGAGTAAAACAGTCATACTACTACATTCATTAAGCTATTCTCACCTTTCAAATCTACTTGACCATCTGCTACAACAACAATTGTGTGCTTGCTTGGAGTAGGTGTGTTACCGGTACTAGATCTTTCCCTTGATACCGGTTGAACTGGTGCTGTTGCTGCCCTTTTCCGGTTCCCCTGTATCATCGGTGATGTTTTTGGATTATCTGTAGGTAAAAATTCCTCTAACATTTAACAGTATGAAAAATACATGTACTATGCTTATTTTTAGGCAATAAAAAAGCTTTTGAGCACCTGATGGCGTGCTTTGAATCACAGAGACCATATGGAAACTTTCCAGCTGTATTTATTCATGAAAATGCCAGGATTATACCCTATGGATTTTTTCCAGGCGTTCGGAAACCATAAATAAGCTAGATAGAAATTTTTGTCCCTAGAATTTATCATCCTTTGTATTAGAAATTATTTTTTGTCCAACAGGATTGCTGTATTTCAAATTGATTGTTAAATATTTACTTTAGTAATTAATCTATACATATTTACTTTAGTAAATAGGCTTTAATAACTCTGTGAGGCACTTGATCAATTACATTTTGTAAATGTTTACTAATGAACCCTAACCTACACTTAAAATTTTAATGAAATATAAACTATTAATACCTATGTTACTATATATAGTAACAAAATTAAGGGTATTTTAAGTCCATTATGGCAAGTCCTAGGTCATTACACTATTTATGCTGCCTTGCTACTTGGTATTATTATTCCATAATAGGCAAGTGAATGAGCTCACATGCCAAATGATGTAAACAACTCTCAGTGACTTTCAAGCTGGCTAATGAACTGTAGTCACTTGCAAACAATAATTGAAGGTTTAGATGACACAATCAAAAACAATCAATAAAGTTAAATAGCTCATTATGCCTCAAAAATGCTAGCAATTTTATTTCTCAAAATCTTTTAATTTTAAGTATCTTTTTACAAGTAATACTCATTTGCTATATGCATCCATGGACTATCTTTTGCAACTATAGCTCTGTTAAACAATTGTGTTTACCTCCAGATATTGGTTTGCTAATTGAGTATGAGGTGTATGGGATATCTTCATCTCTCTGGGACTTGATCTCACTTCCTGGTGCACCTGCAGGTGGCTGGTGACTTTGGTCAGATCCCATTTCCTATAAGAAATTGAAAATACTTAGATCAATAAATTTTAATTACCAAATTGTAATTAATAATATCCAGTTCAAAAATTATTTATAATTATTTATTCATTAAATTAATCAAATTGCCAATTATGACAAATTTTTTTT